GAAGAAGAAGAAGAAGAAGAAGAAGAAGAAGAAGAAGAAGAAGAAGAAGAAAGAAAGGAAGGAAGAAAGAAGATGAGAGGAGAGATAGGGATGGGGAGAATGGAAAAGGAGAGAAAGAGAAAAGCACCTGAGAAGGGGAGAGAGATGACAGACAGAGGATAAGAAAGGGATAAGGAGAAAGAGGAGGAAGGCGAGAGGTAGGAGAGACAGAGGGGACAAATAAGAAAGGGGAGGCTAGAGGGGAGAAGGGAGGATGAGAGAGAAGTGGGGAAAAGGAGAAACCTCTGGAAGTGGGGAGAAGCCGTTTGGCACAGAGAAAGAGAAGGGAGAGGAGGAAAAGAAGGGAGAAAGAGAGAGGGGGAAAGACAGAAGGGGAAGGAGGGAATAAGAGGAGGAGTAGGAAGTGAGAAGGGGAAGGGGAGAGAAAGAAAGAGAGGTGTCTGAGAGCCTGACAGTGGCAGATGGCAGATCAACTTGGCCCTAGCCTCCATCTCCCATGGTGCCTCTCTAGCACCTAGCTCTGGCTTCCTAAATCCCTTCTTTGGAAGCTTTGGCCCCAGGGATGAGACAGTAGGAAGGCAGTGGGCCCATGCTTCTGCCAGCAGCCTCTGAAGGTGGTGGTGGTGGTGGTGATAGTGGTGGTAATGTCAGTGGGAGGCGTGTAGGATGACAGGAATGGTCTCTGCTTCCCCCCTCCCTCCAGTCCTTGAATACTAAGTTACTTTCCCACGTCTACTCCCTGAAGGATTCGATGAGGTAGTCAGAGGAGGAGATCCAGACTCCAAGGCCTCTGAAATTCATTGTGCTTGTGGAGTCCCTGGGAGGATGCACATTCTCAGAACAGCACATTCTCAGAAGATTCAGAGAAGAGCTTGTAGCTGGATAGGAGTCAAAACCTGACTGGGAACCCTTATCATTTCCTGAAACTGCCCAACCCCAATGTCCCTCCCACCCCCATACAGGCAAGTTGATTTGTACACACACACACACACACACACACACACACACACACACACACACACACACACCCCTAACCATGTGCCAGCCTCCTCTAAATGAACCCACAGCAGATGAACAGGCCCCAAGCCTTGAGCTGTTTGTTTCCCCTGTACTGAGCATGGGTCTGCACTGCGGCCAGCCATAACATCCCCTTCCCCCTCCCCAGTCACTCCACTCAGATCTCAAGGCTTAAGGAGCTTGGGGGGCCTCTGCATCCTTCCTCCTCCCAGAATCAGAAACCACCAGCATCCTCACCCTGTCCTCTGGGCTTTAAAGCTGGAGGAGCTGGTTTCGCTATGGCTCATATTCAAAAGATGTTTGAATGTGAAGCCTGGCCCCTTGGGGGCTGTCCACACACTTTCAATCAGCTTGATCAACATAGGCTTTTCCCGTCCTCCTCCTCATCCACTGTACAACTCTACAACTCGTAGCCTCTTTAAGAAGGCCCTCCCAATGGTTGTTGGGCTTGCCTGCACCGGTGTCATCTAACCTGGACATTCATTCCCCATTTGACAGGCAAGGAAACTGAAGCCCAGGAAAGGGGAAAGACTTGCCTGAAATCAAGCAGCCAATAAGTGGCTGCAACAGTGCCATGTCCACTATGCCCCTGTCTGTCATGCTGCCTGAAATCCCACCATTAAAAACGCATGTGTTTGGGCAGAGGCACTGCCCAAATGTTATTGTTCTTTGCCAAGGGAGGGGATGGTTTCACTGCCTTCAGCCTCTGAAAGACTGGGTTCAGTTCTGGGGACCTCAGTTCAGAAGGGTTATTGACAAGCTGGAGATGCAGCAGAGGAAGATGACCAGGATGGGGAGGGGACTAGAGACCACGCCATCCAAGGAAGGCGCAGTTGAAGAGGCAGGGGAGGGCTAGCCTGGAGAAGACACAGAAGGACGTGCTAGCCCAGTTGTATGAAGGGCCTCAGGTAAGACTGAGGCTAGTCTTGCTCTGCTGGGTCCCAAAGGGCAGACCCCAAACAATCTGGGGCATTTAGGAGAGGGAGATTATAGATAAGCTCAGGAAATTCCTCTTAACCAAACCTTCCAGTGCCCCCTCAACAATGCAGTGGGCTGCCTTGGGGAGTAGTGAGCTACCCATCGCTGGAGGACCACTTAGGATGTATGCTGAAGCGCTTCCTCCTGAGGTATAGGCCAGACCAGGGGAATTCCTGAGGCCCTGCCCTATGATCCCTGTAGCTCGCATAGTGGACGGCACCTACAGCCCTGGGGACCAAGCTGGAGAAACAAGTGGAACTTTTTCCTGGTAGTTTTATTACATCCAGGCTCTTGGGCTGTACTATACTGGGGGCTGGGGTGGGGGGGAAGGGAGAGGAGTCTGGAATCCCCCAGGGCTAGGGAGCCAGGCCTTACCCAAAGGCACCTTTAGTGATTAGTATGTAATGAGGCCTACATGAAGAAAACATTGGGGATTCAGGAGCTGGGAGGTGGCAGGGCTAACAGGGAGGCTTCATGGACAAGAATGCACCAGAGAGGGCCTTGGAAGGAATGGGGAGCGGGTCCTATGATCACCATTGTCCACCTTCTCCAGGTTACACAAAGCAACCTCCTTCCTCCGTGTTCCAGGGAGGACTGAGAATAGACTGGGGCCCCTGAGGTGGGGGATGGGGGGGGGCAGCTTGATGCTGCCTCCCCTTATGAAGAGTAGAGATGCTTAATCCCAGCAGGTGAAGGCCAAAATTTGGTCAGATGCTTCCATGACTTCCTGACATCCCCCCAGCCACTTGACTTCCCTGATGTTAATTAAACCTGTTGGGCAAGAAGTGGGGAATGGGAACACAAGGAGACAGAGTTAGAGAGAGGCAGAGAGGCTTCCCAAGGAGAGGGAGGGAGAGGAGGGAAAGAGATGGAGCTAGAAAGAGGAATGGAGAGAGGCAGGTGGAGGGGGCAAAGATGGAGACTGAAGGGGTTATGGAGGGAGGGGAGAGACGAGAGACAGAGATATGGAGAAACAGACACACCCAGTGGCTGAAGAGGCAGCAGTGGAGGAGGAGGAGGAGGAGGGGAAGGGGGGAGGCAGAGAAGAAGGAGGGGTGGGGGGAGGCTGGCACACTGGCTGATAAGACACAAGACAGGAAGCCCCCTCCACTCTGATGGCCAGACTGCCTGACAGACCCCCCAAAAAAAATCATTCTTGGGGGATGGGAAGAGAATAGATTTGCCTTCCGCCTCAGACACATGATCCTCTCTGCACCCCCACCCCAGCCCTTGTCCCTCCCTCTCAACCCTTCCCTAAAGCCTCAGAATCACACCCCCCTCTGCCCCTTCTCCATTCTGTGGTCTGGATGCTAGAGGGAAGTGGGATGGGAGGGGCCCTGGGGTTGGGAGGATTAGGGATTGGGTAGTGTCCCCAGACCTTCCCACACTGTTTCCAACACAATTGGAAAGGCCTCTCACCTGCCAGAGGTGGCCCCCAGCCAGAATCCTCCCTTGAGGCAGTAGGGTGTGGGGGGAGACCTCTGCTGGGGGTTAGAGGGACAAGGAAAGGGACCAATCGGTCAGGGTGTTCCTCCCAGGATGGAGCAAGCCACACCCAGGGGCCACACCCTGCATCCACACACACACACACACACACACACACACACACACACACACACACATGCGCACATGCCAAGATACCTCTCGACCACTCAGTGGGTGGATTGAGGGGACTCCACACACACGTTTGGATACACACAAGCACACACATGCACTGGCAAGTCACGCAGGCGGGCACCACTCATAGGCTTAAACACACACGCTTCATGCACACATGTATAGACAACACCCAAAATGTACACATGCACAAATAAACACTCAGGGGAACACAGAACTGAGACACTGACACCTGCCCCCACATACACGCCAACCACCTGACTCCCACAGAACTGAGGCATTGACACCTGCCCGCCCCCACACACACGCATGCACTCACACACACACCTACCACCAGACTCACACAGAAACACAGGCATGAACAGACCCAAACATGAGGGAACACACTGAGACACAGGTTCAGAGATGAGCTAAGGGTGACCCTGGCTTTCTCCTGCCCAGCCCAGTCCCCTGGCTCCCCCCACCCACCCTATCCCTCCTCCATCCCAATCTCCCCTCCTGTCACTGCTCCAACCCCAATTCCCCCCCTACACTCCCCATCCCGCCGCCCCATCAGTGCTCCATTCCTAGCTGGTTGGGCTCCACCTGCTCCCAGGGCCCAGCAAGGTTCCCCTTTGCCCTGTGCCTCTTCCAGCTGATGCCAGGCCTTCAGGGTACAGGTCTTTTTCTCCCACCTCAGCTCATGTCCCCTCCCCTCTTTCTGGGCTCAGCCTGCCCCCTCCAAGGGCTCCTCCATGCCAGGGCTCCCATCCATGCCCAGCCTTCTGGGCTCTGCAGGCATCTAGCCCAGCTGCGTGTGTGGAATTGGGGATGTCGCAGTGCTTGGCTGGAGGGGAGAGAGCCGGGGATGCCCTGAACTGGGCAATGCCCAGGCGCCACGCCTTACCTCCGGGTGCCCGCCCTGCTTTCGCCCAGCCTCAGCAGCTCCCAAGTACCGTCTGCAGCAACCAGCGGCAGTGGCAGGAAGAAAGATTGGAAAGGGGGGGGGAGGGAGTAAGATTACCTCACACTCACATCCAGTCTCCTCGCTCCTCATCTCTCCTCCTCCCTCCCTCCCCAGCCACCACCCCAGCTCCTGCTTAGTCCCTCCCCCCTCTCCGCTTCCCTCCGCCCCCTCCTCATAGCTCTGGAGCATCACAGCCATCCTGGGCCACCTCTGGAGCA